TGGCTCACACCTGTAGTCCTAGCTACTCAGAAGGCTGAGATCTGAGGATCACAGTTCCAAGCCAGCTCAGGCAGTTAAGTCCTGAGACTTACCTCCAATTAACCACCAGAAAACTGAAAGTGGCGCTGTGGCTCAAGTGGTAGAGTGCTAGTGCTAGCTTTGAGCTCAAGAGCTGAAGGACAGTGCTGAGGCCCAGAGTTCAGGTCTCACAATGGACAAAAAAAAAAAAAAAAAAAAATTATTATGCCTACCTCCTCTATGCAAGCTTACTTCTTGGGGGTGATAGGGAAAAAATTATTATGCCTACCTCCTCTATGCAAGCTTACTTCTTGGGGGTGATAGGGAAAAAATTATTATGCCTACCTCCTCTATGCAAGCTTACTTCTTGGGGGTCATAGGGAAAAGATTCTTTCCCCACCTGCTCTGGTATTTTCTCTAAGGCTACCTCTCCAGGTGAGCTGGTAGAACAGAGCTAGGGCAACTGGGAGAGCAGTTACCCCACGTTGAATTATCTCGGGGGGGGGGGGGGGGGGGAAGTCCTGGAATTAATAGGAAAACTTCCTCTTCTCACGGCTGGAGAATGAATCTAGAGGTATGGGTCAGCTTCTATTCCCATTCAGCTTCCTCTACACCCAGCTAAGAACAACTGCAAGGTGTATACACTCTCTCCCATCCATTTCCTATGCTGAAGACTTGAGGGTGGAGAGGAACTTATGAGATAGGTCCTAAGAAAATGGGGCTGTGGCCAGCTAATATGGATCAAAGCAGACAACTGCAAACATCTGTGTACTTAAGGAAGCCAATGCCAGCAGGAGCAAAATCATCTTTGAAATCTGGCCTGGAACTAGGGAGCCACTGACTCAAAGCTCCCCCAAATAGGTAGATTCAAATTCCTTTTTTGCATTGCCTTAATGTCAGCCTAACCCAGAGCAGAGCACACTTAGGCCATCCTCAGCACCTGAAGACTTTTTTTTTTTTTTTTTGGTGCCAGTCCTGGGGCTTGAACCCATCTGCATCCCTGAGCTTTTACTCATGGCTAGCACTCTATTACTTGAACCGTAGTGCCACTTCTCGGCTTTTTTCTGTTTATGTGGTACTAAGGAATCAAACCCAGGGCTTCATGCATGATAGGCAAGCACTCCACCACTAAGCCACATTCCTAGCCCACTTAAAGACTTTTTGTTGTTGTTCTGCCAGTCCTGGGGCTTAAACTCAGGGCCTGGGCTCTGTCCCTGAGCTTCTTTTTGCTCAAGGCTAGCACTCTACCACTTGATCCACAGCACCACTTCTAGCCTTTTCCATTTACTTATGTGGTAGTGAGGGATCAAACCCAGGGCTTCATCATGCTAAGCAAATATCCTACCACTAAGCCACATTACCAGCCCCCACCTAAAGACTTTTATCTCCCTGCCTTCCCTGTACTTTTTTCTTCTACAATATAGCATCTAGCCTCTTATCTTCTTGTCTGCTCCTACAATCCCTAAGATTAGGGGAATTGTGAAATATGATTGGGTTTAGACCCTCAAAGGATTCTTTATTTAGGTATGTATGTTTTGTGGTTTTTGTTTTAGGAAAGTAGTGGGCTGGATAGACTCCTTCATTTGAAGAACAATTAGAAGCCTGGACTCAGATATTAAAGGAGCTAGAGGGACTGAGAATGTGGCTTAGTGGTAGAATGTTTGCCTAGCATGCATGAAGCCCTAGGTTCCATTCCTCAGTACCACATAAACAGAAAAAGCCAGAAATGACACTGTGGCTCATGTGGTAGAGTGCTAACCTTAAGCAAAAAAAGGTCAGTCCTGAGTTCAAGCCTCAGGGCTGGGGGGGAGAAGGAGCTAGAAGTTGAGCTAGATTATATGAGGTTCCTAGGAAAGGGACTAGAGCTCAAGCTGGATGAGTCCAAGCCAAAAACAGGAGAGATGAATCAGGCTGATTTGGAGGTCAAAAGGAAGGAACAGAGGTTTGAGTTACATTCAGGGCCCCTAGCTGGATGGACACATTCTCTAGCAGTGTGCTGGGGCCAACACCTGCACCTGAAAATTGAGGAGATGAAGGCTTTGGAGGTGAAGGCTTCCTTCACCTCAGTTAATTCCTCTTCATCAGGGGCCTTGACCAGTGTGGCTGCTGGTAGCAAATGGGAAAGAGGTAGATATGAGGTTCCAGCGAAATCATGAGTTCACTGTTTCATGAATTCAAATAGTGAATTCCCATCTCTGACTTACTCCTAGTCCCCTGCTCTGCTTGAAGATCAATCTCTTCCCCAACACCCACATGTAGAGGATGTGAAAAATACCCAACCCAATCATACGACCACTACCCAGCAGCCAATAACCCAACACAATCTCATTGCCAAGACAAGCACTTACCATATTCTCATTATGTACAGCCTCCACTTCCATCCAGTAATCTTCTCCATCTTTCATTGAGAGGTCTCAATGAAGACTAACTGAAGAGATTATTTCACTAACACACATGGACATACACACATATATACACATGCCTACATACTTACACATATATTTGCAAGTCCCCTCCTAGCTCGGCAATCACATGCATAAAGTGGCACATACAAAAGACAAAAAGCCCAGATGTGCATCCAGTGCCAGACATCAGCCCACTAGAGGTGTTACCTGAAACTCTCAAGGTGAGTTGGTGGAAGCAGCTGACTGGTAAATGTCAGCCCAGGCCTACAGGAAAGTGGGAGGTGGTACAAGTACAGTCCATGGGTTCTGAGGCACTGGGGCTATGAGCTGGGCTGGAACCATGGCACTGCCAAGGAAACCATGTAGATTGGAGGTTGGGGTAGGCCAGACAATTCTTTCCTCTGCGGTGTCTTCCTGTCAGCTGGGGAGATGAGGTGGAAATGTAGGTCTATCAGGCTTTACTTTTCATCTGGACACTTCAATGGGGTAATGGTCTGAGGCCTCAGCTTTCCCTGACTGGAACGAAAACAAGGGACACTAGGTAGAGTTGTCTCCCCCCCCCCCCCCCCCCCCCGCACCAAGTCATGGGGCTTGAACTCTGGGCCTGGGCGCTGTCCCTGAGCTCTTCAGCTCAAGACTAGTGCTCTACTACTTGAGCCACAGCACTACTTCTGGTTTTCTGGTAGCTTACTAGAGATAAGTCTCAAGGACTTTCCTTCCTGGGCTGGCTTTGAACCTTAGATCCCAACTTCCTGAGTAGCTAGGATTACAGGCATGAGCCACCAATGCCTAGTAGAGGGGTTTACAGAGGCCAAGACCCCTATTTCCAACTCATAGTAAGCTCTCCTCATTCTGATAATGTTCTAGTGGTGGTCAAGAGGGGACCTGGGAGACATTTAACTCCTTGGAAATGAATCTGAAAGTGCCTAATTCCTCTTTCCATCTAGAGGTAAAGCTTAGGTGTCCCCATTGAATCAACAGGAGATAAACAATCCTGTTCCTCTCTTAATCCTCCATCCAGGGTCTTCATTTTAACCCCTGCAATTAATTTAGTTCTCAGCAAAGCTGACAGGCTGAGGGCCATCAGGTAAGGCTAGGGTAAGTAAGAATTTCACAGGAAACAAAGTCTTCTAGGCACTCTAAACAGCCCAAGATCCTCAGACTCAAGTCTCCTAAGCAAGGACCATGTACCACTCTGCCCACTGCCCCTCCCCCCCCCCAATCCCTCAACAATAGAGTCCATCTAATCCACCTAATTCCAGCTCTCTCTGAGGAGAGCCACATGTCTGGTAACCTCATCTAGAGGTGAGAGACAACAGTTGCAGGTGGGGGTAAGGAAAGCCAAATGTGACACCTGGGGACAAACTTTGGGGCCTAGGGTGAAGGAGAGGATAATTCAAGGAACCATCACTACAAAACTGAAGGAAATTCTTATCAGGAACTCTAAGGATAGGGGAAAGATTGCCTTTAACAAGAGTATTTATTGGCATCAAAGACTAACCAGGACACTCTCAAACCAGAAAGTCTCTTTATTGATTGGTACCATACATGACTCAAATGGCCAAAAAAAAAAAAAAAAAAAAGGCATTACAGTTGGGGTGGAGACATGTACCTTTCTTACCCCTTCCCTCAGCTCCTGCCGCAGTACCCTCCCCCAAGTGTGGCTAGAATGGAGAAAATAGGTTTTGGGGGACCCCATACTCCCAAGGGAAGGGTGCGGAGAGAGGTGGACTGACACATCCTGGGACAGGCCACAGGAAAAGGCAGCAAAGCCATCCATGAGCTGGGCCCAGCCTTAGGGGACCCTGTTCTTGGCTTTCCCCTGGCCCTGAACCTCCACATGTTCAACTGTAAAAAAGAGATGAAGATCCTGCCTGCTCCTCCTCCCTTTGGGGAGAGGGGGAAGGTAATGGGAGATGAAGAACATCTATCTCAGCTGAGGAGGGGACAGAGGCCTATTTCTCCCTGGTGGGCTTAGAGCTAAGATGTCCTCAGAGGCTCCTCCCCCTCTGTGGAAGGAAGCTAGTATTATATATGAGTTTGAAAGGCTGCAGAAGGGGATTCTGAGGAGTGGACCCAGATCCTCTCTCCCATCCCATACCTGCATAACTGAGACAAAACAAAAAAAATACAGCCACAAACAAGGCTGCTCCCTTCCCGCCCCCCATCCAAGGGGAGGAAGCCTCCCCTCCCTCCATCCAAGATAGCTGCTCTAGTGGAGAACTGTAAAGAATACACACATCATGAGGGTTGGAGAATGAGGCTGGGGTTAAGAGTCACAAGCACTAGGAGGGAAGGCCATAGTCCAGACAACAGCAGAGGTTGTCACAAAGATGTGGCCATCAGTAACCTCACCCTCACACCATGGCAGGCCTTCCTAGACTCTAGTCACCCCACAGAAAAAAGAGGGGATGGCAGTGTCTCCTTGGTCTGAAGCTCTCAAAGTATATAAAACGGTATGCATACCCTCCTGTCCCCACTCTCACCCCCACCTGGTTCCTAGTCCCCCCACCTTCGCCCTGTTTTCTAGGAGGAGGGAGGTAGCTGGGTTTTTAATGGGGAACGGGGAAACATGAATGATTTTTTTTAACTTATATTTTTAATAATATTATTTTTTTTAAAAACTTGGAGCTGGGACAGGTGGTAGAAGGGAGAAGGAACCCAGAGCAGCCGCCTAGGGGTAGGGGCATTCAAACAAGCCCCAAAACTCTAGGCCCCTAAAGTCTGTGGGTCAGACCACCCCAGGCTTGAAAGGGGGTAAAGTCATGAGGGTAGGGAACCCAGAACCTGGGGTGAGAATGGAGGCAAATGCCCTAGGGATAGGGTAGAAGGGTCAGAACATTTCTGAGGCCCAGGGTCCATGTAGGCATCCACATGAGTACCCCCTTCCCCCAAAAGGCTCTGCAGGGGCCAGCCCAACCCAGGGTCACTGGGGGGCAAATCTTGGCACCTGCCCCCAGTGAGTCAGTTCCTCCCTGAAGTGGGTGGATGGAGGCTGCCCATTTAGATGCCCAGTCTCTTCATTCTGTCTTCTGCTCCCTGGGGCTGCAAGGGGTGGGACAGGCAGGCAGAGTGCTGGGTGGCCATGGCAGGGCCTTTACTGGGAGGCCTGTGACGTGGGGTTCTCCGATTTGCTTTCTTGGCTGGATGGAGGCTTGCTGTTCCAGGGGCTGTTGGCGCCCAGTGCAGGGGAGTTGTTAAAGCTGTCCTCGTCGTCAATGCCGTTGGCCGCGTCAAACTGGGTGTTCTCCAGCCGGGTGATGAGCCTCTCGTCCTCGTCCCCGAACTCCCCGCCCATCAGGGTGGGCTCCCCCACCACCATCACATCCTGAGAGTGGCGGAGGTCCCCAAACATAATCGGGGCAGGGGCTCGCCCGGCCCAGGGCAGTAGATATCCCCAGAACCCCCATACCCATCCTAGAAGCTCAACACCTCCCTCCCCCTCCTCATTCCCAAGTTTAAAACCCCAACTCCTCTGACTCCCTCAGCTCCTGGAATCCTTCTCAGTGAGGGGCTCTAGAGCATCACAGCTCTTAGCCTATATCCATTAGACTCTGGGAGGAAACAATATCAATTTATTTCCCTAGCTTCCTAATTCATCTCACTCAAGATTTCAATGGGCTCCTAAACTTCTGTCCATATTTCAGAGAGAGGGAACAGATCAAAACCAAGAGGGAGGGCAGTATGTGTGGATGCATGTGTACTCTAGAGCTACAGCCGCATTCAAGACTGAATATTCCTCTATCCATGAGTGTATTTCTGATAATATGTTCCTGTGGTTATCTGTCCTGAATGTCTCTCTCTCCTTTTATACTCTATGTGCTGTGGCTGAGTCTGTGATTCTAACTATGTATGTGCCTGCCAAGGATTCTCTCTTAAGTGAAAAGAGTCAGCTCATGCTGGCAGAGTATACTGGGGAAAACTGTCTTTGCTTCTGTGCCTGCTAACTTGCTGAGGCCTGGATATGGGTCAGGGGTGAGTGGTGGGGCAGCCCAGAAGAGAGAAGAAAGCCGAGATGCTTACAGGTACCTGGCTGGAGAGGGCGAAGGTGCTGGCTGGGCTCTTCTTCTTGCTGTTGCTGTTGTTGGTGTTGCCGCCCCCTGAGCTCATGGTGCTTCCCCCTGACATCTTTCGTTTCCGCCGTTTGCTGGGCTGTTGCCGTGCAGGTTCCGCTATGCCAGGAAAGGAAACTCAAGTGGAACAGGGCCCTGGATCCCCAGTTCTCCATTCTGGGAGAAGCCCAAGCCTGCCCCATCCTCCGTCTTGTAGCCCCAAGAGCAAGGAAGGGACAGAGAACTTGATAAGAAGATAAAAATGCAGCCTCAAAGCTGGGTGCTGGTGGCTCATTCTGTAAGTCTAGCTACTCAGAAGGCTGAGATCTGAGGATGGTGGTTGAAAGCCAACCTGGGCAGGGAAGAACCTGAGACTTGAGACTGTTAGTGGTGCTGTAGCCCAAAGCTGTAGAGTGCTTGAGCAAGAAGAGCTCAGGGACAGTGCCCTTGCCCTGAGTTAAGCCCCATGACTGACCAAAAAGCAAAAAAAAAAAAATGCAGCCTTGGAAAACTGCATCAGGTCCTGGTAAGCACAGGGAAAGGCACTCACCAGGAGGTGCTACCATGCGCTGCCACTTCTGGAAAAGGCAGGTCTTGAGGCAGTCTCGGGGGCTGAGGCTGTAGGTTTTGTGGCGGGACATGAGCTCCTGCATGGGCTCAAGTATCACACAGAGCTGGAAGTAGATAAGAGCATGTCACAGAAGAGATATGGGACTGTGACCAAACAGGATAGGGCAGAAATGGATACCAGAAACTCACTCGGAGGTAGTTAAGAGTAGAATTGGATAGCCCACACCGGGTGATATTTTTGGAGAGCTGATCCAACATCTGGGGGTCCTGGGCCTAGATGGAGAGAAAGACAAGAACATTAGCACCTGGATTGCATCTGCTCACCATCCTCACTGCTCATCTGAGCGTTGTGATTCTCCTGAGAAGAGGGAGTATTAACATTAAGCATGTGTTTCAGATGAAGAAACCCTTCTCTTCTCTCCAAGTCAGGATCATGAAATGACAGACCCAGTCTCCCCTTCTGGCTGCTTTCCCTACCCCTTGTGTTTTGGGTCCTGCCCCAAACTCACATGCATGGCAAGGATGCTCCGGGGGATGAGCTCTCGATGCTGTCGGATGCTGAAGTGCCATGTCTTTATCCGCATCATGTCATCAAACATGAACTCCAGGTACAACCGGCCCTCCACACACACCTGGGGACAGGCTTGTCACAACCCTGTCCCCTCCCCACACACATGAAAACATCCCTGTCATAGTTCTGTCCTTTGCTCCCACTGGATACACTTCTGCTATCCGCACATCAATCTAGGTATAAAACTATCACAGCAACCCCACCCCATCCCATGCACCTCCCATAGCTGGCCTTACATACACCTATCTGTACACATGCATAGTTGCAATGCTTAAAAGATCCTTGTCCTTCTCCCATGAGGTCAGAGATACATTCATGCTATGAAGGCAGGCTCTTGTTTGCTGTATACCCGTGAGGCCCAGAAAACGGACACAAATCAAATAAATGTCTGTTGAATGCTGCAGTATGCCTGCCCTCCCTTTTAATTTGACCATTTTTCATTATTCCTTCTTAAGAAACAGCTGGGTACATGTTGGAAGAGAAGAAATCAAATCCAGGTGCCCGGGTGTTCCACATCCTGCTGGGTTGCTGACCTGGGTGAACATGGGTTTGCCGTGTTGGGTCACCATGCTGCCCTGGTCACAGTCGAGGGACACAAAGTTGCTGTGGAATGCCTCCTTGGGGTGCTTAAGGACATAATACAGCTCCGTAGCACCCCCTTCAAAAATGCTGCGAAAGTAGCGTGGGATCAGGGTCCGGCCAATGGCTGTAGAGATGGGACACTTTTCAGGACTGAGGGACCTCAAAGAGGGGGGTCAGGCAGATACCTTCCCTGCCAAGATGGATCTCATGGCACTTCCAGACCCACCATCAGACCATACAACCTCAAAACACGACCCCCAGAAGCACTCACTGTATCTCTTTGGTCCATCTTCCAGGCAGAAAGTGATGGTCAACATGGCATCATCCTCAAAGAACTCAGTTGTGAAAGCATCCCACCAGAGATTGTCACACTCCTAGAGAGCACACACAGAAAGAGTATATATGTTATAAGACCTCCCACAGGGGTATCCAAATAAGACTCCATCCTCCCTATCACTTTTCCCTTAGCCAAACCTCTGTCCAGTTCTGAAGCCGTTTGTTGAGCTCAAATATTCTGTAGTCAGTTTGGTTTCCATAAGGTGTGTGCCTCCTGGAAAAGTTAAGAGGGGAGGTCAGTAGGAGCAGAGCCTTCCCACTGCTTCCCTTCTGTCTTTACCCAGGTGATGAAAAGCACTTCACTTCCTGCTGGACTCCACTTACCCAATCCCAGGCTCCAGGTATGTAGGCGGGTACATGGGAGTTGGGCTGTGTAAGGGAAGAAGCCATGAGAATAGGGGTGGAGATAGGAATTATTAAGGGGGGGGTTTTTCAGCCCCTTCCCCTTCCAGGTAGGAGGCTCCTATATGGTCAAAGGGAGAAAAGTTAAGAAGTAAGCAAGGGACTCACCCCACATCCCGATCCAGCATGGTGCCGGGATGAAAGGGGGGAAAGGCGTTGCCGTTCGGGGGCTCCTTCGGCGAGTACAGCTTGAATGACTTTGAGGAACAACCTAAAAAGCAAGAGAAAAGAGAAATCCCTGGGATCCTCTTGGGGGCTCTCCTAGAAGTCTGCTAGACCATGTGGATTCAGACTGGTCTTTTGGAGTCCCTCTAGCCTGGTTCCAAGGGAGGGGTATACAGGGGGAGGAAGCATTTACTACTTCTTCAAAATGGCTCTCATCTTGTTTAACTAAGAAACTGGGGGCATCCAGAGGCCAGTGGCTCATTTCCTATAATCCTAGCTAATCAGGAAGCTAAGACCTGGAGAATCACAGTTCAAAGCCAACCTAAGCAGAAGTCTTAGAGACTCTACCTCCAATTAACCATGGAGGCAGGGCTAAGTGGTAGGTCAGCAAGAAAACTGAGTGAAGCCATGTACCAGTGGCTCAAACCTGTAATCCTAGCTACTGGTGAGATCTGAGGATCATAGTTCAAAGTCAGCCTGGTCAGAAATGTCCATGAGACTCACCTCCAATTAACTATCAAAAAGCCAGAATGGGGGCTGGGAAGGTGGCTCAAGTGGTAGAGTGCTTGCCTTGCATGCACGAGGTCCTGGGTTCGATTCCCCAGCACCACATAAGGAGAAACAAAGCCAGAAGTGGCATTATGGCTCAAGTGGTAGAGCGCTAGCCGCCTTGAGCTGAAGAGTTGAAAGACAGTGCCCAGGCCCAAAGTCCAGACCCCAAGACCAGCCAAAAAACAGTGCTAGTTTCAGCAAAAAAAAAAAAAGCTACAGATGTTGAGGTCGAGTTTAAACTCTAGGACTGGTGTGTACACACACACACACACACAAAGCTGAGAAAACAAAGCCTTGAATTAAAGCTCTCATGGGTATGCACAAAGACTCTTAAAAGAGAGAAAAAGAGAAGAGAGAGAGAGAGAGAGAATAAATTGGGACTATTCGGCCCCAATCCTAACCCACACTCAAGACTGTTTCTTTGAACATTGAATGGCAAAAGAGAAACTGAAGCTGAGAAGCAATCATAGAATGAAGATACGATCATTTTTAGAATTTTGATAACCCCTTTTTTATCTACAGTTTCATTTAATTATCACAACTTTGTAAGGTAGCAGTGTTCATGCAACATTGTGTTTGTGTATGTGTATTCACGATGGCTGGCCTTGGGGCATGAACTCAGGGCCAGGGCACTGTCCTTGAGTTTGTTTTTTTTTTCCTCCTCAAGTCTAGCATCCTACCACTTGAGCCACAGCTCCAATTGCAGTCCTTTTTTTTTTTTTTTTTGGTCCTGGCTCTAGGTCTTGAACTCAGGGCCTGGATGCTGTCCTTGAGTTTCTTTTTGCTCAAGAATAGTGCTCTTCCTAATTCCAGCTTTTTGGTAGTTAATTGGAGGTAAGAGTTTCACAAGGGCTGGGAAGGTGGCTCAGTGGTAGAGTGCTTGCCTTGCATGCATGAGGTCCTGGGTTCGATTCCTCAGCACCACCTAAGCAGAAAAAGCCAGAAGTGGCACTGTGGCTCAAGTGGTAGAGCATTAGCCTTGAGCTTAAGAGTTCAGGGACAACACCCAGGCCCAGAGTTCAGGCCCCACAACCGACAAAAAAAAAAAAAAAAAGAAAAAAGAAAGAAAAGAAAAAAAGAGTTTCACATACTTTCCTTCCCTAATCTGGCTTCAAACCACAGTCCTCAGATCTCAGCCTTCTGAATAGCCCAGCCAAAGCAACATTCTTATTGTTATGGGTGAGGCAACTTATCTGCCCAAAGATCATAAAGGTTTTTGATCTAAGATCACCGGGAGTCGGTGGCACACACTTGTTTTTTGGTTTTTTTTTTTTGGGTCCGGTCGTGGGGCCTGAACTCTGGGCCTGGGCGCTGTCCCTCAGCTCTTCAGCTCAAGGCTAGCCCTCTACCACTTGAGCCACAGCGCCACTTCCGGCTTTTTCTTTTTTTGCTTATGTGGTGCTGAGGAATCAAACCCAGGGCCTTGAGCATGCAAGGCAAGCACTCTACCACTGAGCCACCTTCCCAGCCCGGTGGCACACACTTGTAATCCTAGCTACTCAGGAGGCTGAGATCTCAGGATTGCAGTTCAAAGCTAGCATGAGCAGGAAAGTCCATAAGAATCTCCAATAAGCCAGGCGCCGATGGCTCATGCCTGTAATCTTAGCTACTCAGGAGGCTGAGATCTGAGGATCATGTAAAAAGCCAGCCCATGTAGGAAAGTCCATGAAACTCTTATCTCCAATAAACCACTCAAAAACAGGAAGTGGCACTGTGGCTCAAGCGGTATCGCCTTGAGCTGAAGAGCACAGGGACAGCACCCAGGCCCAAGTTCAAGCCCCATGACCGACACACACACACACAAAAAAAAGAATCTCCAGGGGCTGGGAAGGTGGCTCAGTGGTAGAGCGCTTGCCTTGCATGCATGAGGCCTTGGGTTCGATTCCTCAGCATCACATAACCAAAAAGAAAAAAGCCGGAAGTGGTGCTGTGGCTCAAGTGGTAGAGCGCTAGCCTTGAGCTGAAGAGCTGAGGGACAGTGCCCAGGCCCAGAGTTCAGGCCCCACAACTGGACCCAAAAAAGAAAAAAAAAAAAAAAAAATCTCTAATAAACCACCAGAAAACCGGAAGTTATGCTGCGGCTCAAGTGGTAGGTACTAGCCTTGAGCTGAAGAGCTGAGAGTCAGCGCCCAGGCACAGAGTTCAAGCCTTGTGTCTGACCAAAAAAAAAAAAAAAAACACCAAAAAAACAAAAACAAACAACTACTATCTATGGCTTAGTAGTAGAGTGCTTGCCTAGCATGCATGAAGCCCTAGGTTAGATTCCTCAGTACCACAATAACAGAAAGGGGCTACAAATGGTTCTGTGGCTCAAGTAGTAGAGTGTTAGCCTTGAGCAAAAGAACTCAAGAACAGTGCCCAAGCCCTGAGTTCAAGCCCCAGAAATGGCCAAAACAAACAACTAACTATCTAGTTGGGTGCCTGTGGCTCACATTTGTAATCCTAGCTACTCAGGAGGCTGAGATCTGAGGATCACAGCTTGAGGCCAACCAGCTGGTGGCCCCCCATCCCCCCCAATCTTAACTGCAATTAACCACTCAAAAACTGGAAGTGGTGCTTTGGCACAAAGTGGTAGAGCACTAGTCTTGAGCAAAAGAAGCTCAGGATCAGTGCCTAGGCCCTGAATTCAAGACTCGCAACTCCCCCCCCCCCCCAAAAAATAAAAACCCAAACCTACCTCCTGACAGAATGGATCCAAACCCAGATATTACCATATCATCAACTACCATCTGACCCTTTTATTGCTCTCAAGTAACCAAGGTGGGGCGGACAAAGGGAGACTGGGAAAACTCTCTATCCCTCCTTCACCCTCAAAGTTTTAGGAGGGCAGGGGATAGAAAGATAAAGGGGGGTGCCACCCACCAGATAACCAGTTGGGCCTCTGTCTCTCCCCCACTCCCACCAACCGCCACTCCCTTATCAGCCCAGCCCCCACACCCACCTTGGGTAGAGTATTGTTTCCAAACCAGAAACCCAAAGCCTTAGGCCGTTTTTTCTTGAGATTTGCAGTAAATGGAGGAGCCTCCACTGGATCCAATTTTACTTCCACGTAGAACATAGGAGGCCTGGTATTCTAGATTCCTGGGGTCTCAGTCTATAGATAAGTAGTAACTAGACAGGAGTCATGGATGTATATCTAGGCAGTCTCTTTTCCACCTCATCTAGCAGCATATATGGTTCCTAGAATACTATTTTCTGTCAACAGTTAAATTCACAGTTGGGTAGGAGCCAGGTACTCTGTTTCTTCTCCTCCCTCCCAGAAAGGAAAAGCCAAAGCATGGTCCCAAAGGTTTAAGGTGATATTTGCTTTCACAGGTTTCCCAAATTTGATTGCATTTGGAAGGGTAGCTCAATAGCTGTATATGAGTCCCCTCCCCAATTTAGATACAAAATCTATTTTGTTCCTGAGGGAAAGAGACAAAGGAAGACCTTGTGCCAATATGTCATTCAATTCTCTCCCCAAAGGCCCCTCCTCACACTGTGGGCAAAAAGGGGGTCCCAGAGGGGCCCAGACTACACAGTTCCTGAAGGTGCCAAGAGTTGGAGCCTGTGTGTGCCTGCACATGAGTGTGTCTCATCCTGCCCAACAGGCTTCCATCCTCAGCTCGTCCCAACACGCCTACTAAGGGCTGGAACCCAGCAGCCCCAGGCAGAATAAGGGTGGCCACAAAAGGCCCTCAACCCATTCAGGAGCTCTCATGGGCCATGTCTACATGCTCTAAGCACCACACAAACTGCCTTCCCATGCCAGTCTTGGACTGAGCCTGGGTCTCCAGCAAGGAATAGACCCCACTAAGCCCCCCAAGTTGTCTCCTCAGACAAATAAGGCCACATTGGAAGTCCAAACTCAAGAAGTGCATCAGAGGATAGGCCTGGGCAGTGAACACAAGAGCTAAAATTCTCAGGACTAGCCCCTATCTCCTACCTAGGCCATCCTTTCTTCAAAAGCAAAACTACCTCTCTCCCTTAGTTTTAGGATCACTTTAAGAATCTGAAGAGAGGGCTGGGAAGGTGGCTCAGTGGTAGAGTGTTTGCCTTGTATGCATGAGGCCCTGAATCAATTACTCACTACCACATAAAGAGAAAAACCCAGAAGTGGTGCTGTGGCTCAAGTGGTAAGAGGGCTCACGTTGAGCTGAAGAGCTAAGGGACAGCACCCAGGCCCAGTCTGACCAAAAAAAAAAAAAAAAGACTGAAGAGAATGAAAGTATGACATCTGAGTTTCTCTTTGATTCTAAAAAAGGGCTTCAGAAACCTTAGTTTCTTTCTCTAGACAAAGCACTGTTTTGGGCTGAGTAACAGTTCTAAGAAGCTAAAGCCCAAAAGCTTTGAGGCCTCTATTTGTACCTCCAGTAAATGGACACAACAAACTCAACACCTCTCCAGAGCTAAAGCAACTCCCAGGAGCTACAGCACAAGAGGCTGGGAGTGAGAAGGGGAGGGACATCACCCAGACCATCTGTCTCCCTTGCTGCTGGTCCCCAGCAGCAGGGT